ATTCCAACAAGAGAGAAAATTTCTCAGAAGAGGGTCCACTGTCTGTCATTAACTAGAAAGTTAACAATCATAAGAACACAAGAACATAAGAACTAGGAGCAGGAGTAGGCCGTCTGGCCCTTCGAGCCTGCTCCGCCATTCAATAAGATCATGGCTGATCCTTTCGTGGACTCAGATCCACTTACCCGCGTTCTCACCGTATCCCTTAATTCCTTTATTGTTCAAAAAAAATCTACCGTTTTTTTAAAAACATTTACTGAAGTAGCATCAACTACTTCACTGGGCAAGGAATTCCATAGATTAACAACCCTCTGGGTGAAGAAATTCCTTCTCATTTCAGTCCTAAATCTGCTCCCTCTAATCTTGAGGCTATGCCCTCTTGTCCTAGCTTCACCTGCTAGTGGAAACATCCTCTCTACTTCTATCTTATCTATTCCCTTCATAATTTTATACGTTTCTAGAAGATCCCCCCTCAATCTTCTGAATTCCAATGAATATAATCCCAATCTACTCAGTCTCTCCTCATAAGCCAACCCCCTCAACTCTGGAATCAACCTAGTGAACCTCCTTTGCACCCCCTCCAGTGCCAATACATCCTTTCTCAAGTAAGGAGACCAAAACTGCACACAGTACTCTAGGTGTGGCCTCACCAGCACCTTGTACAGCTGCAACATAATCTGTCTGCTTTTAATTTCAATCCCTTTAGCAATCAAGGACAAAATTCCATTTGCCTTCCTAATTACTTGTTGTACCTGCAGACCTACCTTCTGTGATTCATGCACAAGGACACCCAGGTCCCTCTGCATAGCAGCATGCTGCAACTTTTTACCATTCAAGTAATAATCCTTGTTACTATTACTCCTACCAAAATGTATGACTTCACATTTATTTACATTGTATTCCATCTGCCAGACCTTTGCCCACTCACTCAATGTATCTATGTTCCTCTGCAAAGTTTCACAGCCCTCTGCACACTTTGCTTTGCCACTCATATCAAACTTAAACAAAAACTATATAATTGTGAAAAGATGGGTGGCAAGTCAGAAGACTGGACAGAACATTAGAATAACTAGAAGATTAATATGGGGACAGAATGAAGAGTACAAGAGAAAGCTAGCTGGAAACATTAAAAAAATGTAAGAGTGTCTGTAGGTATTTAAAAAGGATAAGATTTAATAAAGTCTATAGAGACCAAGTCTGGGGAATGTCTAATACAGAATAAAGCAGAGAGGAGATGATTGAGCACATATTTTACATTGGGCTTCACTATGCAGGATATAAATAATATCCCAGAAATAGTTGTAAACGAGGAAATGAAACAAAGTAAGAAATACTAGAAAATATCACGGGCAAAGGAGATGGCACTAAGAGAATTACTGGAACTGCATGACAACCTGCCACTGGGTCCTGACAGAATCTACCCTGTGGTCGGAACAGAAACAGCTAGTGAGATAGTTGATGTACTGATTTTAATTTTCCAAAATTTCCTAGATTCGGAGAAGATTCCATTAGACTGCAAAATATCACAGTGACTTTTTTCTTCTGTTTGTGCCACAGCACATGAAACAAGGCTAGCAGGCAGGTACAACAAATAATTAGGAATTCTATTGTTTATCATAGAATCCCTATAGTATGGAAGTCGGCCATTCAGCCCATCAAGTCTACACCAACCCTCTGAAGTGCATTGCATCCAGACCCAACTCTCAACCCCATCCCTACAACCCTGCATTTTCCCATGGCTAACCCATCTAACATGCACATCCCTGGACACTATGAGCAATTTAGCATGGCCAATCCACCTAAGCTACACATTTTTGGACTGAGGGAGAACATGCAAACTCCACACAGACAGTTATCCAAGGGTAGGGCTTGAACGCAGGTCCCTGGAGCTGTGAGGCAGCAGAGCTAACCACTGAACCATCTTGCCACCTGCTTAGTTTGAGGGGAATTGTATACAAAAGTTTGGAGGTTATGCTTCAGTGATAAAGGGTACGGGTGAGACCAGATCTGGAGCACTTTGTACAGTACTGGTATCCTTATTAAGGAAAGGTGGAAGCATTTCAGTCAAGGTTTACTAAATGGATACCAGGCAGTGTGTCCTATGACAAAGGTTGGACAGACTGGACGTAAATCCACTGCAGTTTAAAATAATAAAAAGTGACTTGATTGAAACAGTTAGCATTGTGAGGGGGCATGGTGGGGTGTAGGAGGAAAGGATATCTTTCTCTTGTGGAGCAATCTAAAACTGGAATTCACTGCTTAAATTATAATGAGTCTTCTATTTAAGACAAAGCGGTGGCACAGTGGCTCAGTGGTTAGCACTGCTGCCTCACAGAGCTAAAGACCCAGGTTCAATTCCACCCTCAGGTGACTGTCTGTGTAAAGTTTGCACATTCTCCCCGTGTCTGCACGGGTTCCCTCCAGGTGCTCCAGTCCAAAGATGTGCAGGCTAGGTGGATTGGCCATGCTAAATTGCCCATAGTGTCCAGGGATGTGTAGGTTAGGGTTATAGGGGGATGGGTCTGGGTGGAATGCTCTGAGGGTCAGTGTGGACTTGTTGGGCCAAAGGCCTGTTTCCACACTGTAGGGATTCTATGAGTACAATTCTTTTCTCAAAGAGAATCCTGAGTCTTTCAAACTCACTTACTTAAAAGTCGGAGAAAGCAGTGTCTTTGAACACTGTTAAAGCCGAGGTAGATAGATTCTTGATAAAGTGAGGGGGTGTAATGTTATCAGAGAATATAGAGTAATATTTAGAGTATACAGAGTAACATAGAATAATCAAAGCAGCCATGGTCTTATTGAATGACGAAGCAGGCTCAAAGGGGCCAAGTGTCCTACTCCTGTTCCTAATTTGTATATTAGTCAGTAACAGTACAACGAGAGCTCTACAGCATCAAACACACTTCAAAGTGTTGTAAATACTCAAATCCGTGAGCACTTCCTGCTGGTTTTCCTGACCCTGATATCTTGGCCCCTCTCCAGTGCAGGAGGTAGATTTGTAGAAGCAGCTGCCTTATCAACAGAAACCTTCCCACAACAATTGGTACCTTACTGATCTCAGCATGTCCCTATTTGGCCACTGGGAATGTTCACACAGGTTAAACACAGCTCCATTTCAGCATGTTCGAATCACAACCTCGCTGCTGACTGCCTGTGAGGAAAGCTACAGGGCATCACTTAATATTACACACACATTCCAGATATACAGCTCCACACAGGGAAAATCCGCACACTTCTCTCAGCCCTTGAGCTGATCAAAATCATTTCGCTGCTGTCCAACAAATGGCCATCAACAAAGAAGCAGTGGAACAAGAGAAAGCCATTCAGCCCCTCTAGTCAATTCTACCTTTCAATGAAATCATGGTTGATCGGATTTTAAATGATCAAATGAGCTGGAGTTCACTCAGCTTGCTGCTCATTGCAGGATCCAGTGATTCTCAGATTCTCTTTTTTAAAAAGCCCCATTTTAACTTTTTGTCCCAAATGAGATTGCACAGCTCTCTCTCTCACACAGCAGAAATGGCTTCTCTCCATCTACCCTGCTTATTTCCTCTTCAAAATCCTCAATTCCTCAGGGTGGCACAGTGGCTCAGTGGTTAGCACTGCTGCCTCACAGCACCAGGGATCAGGATTTGATTCCACCCTTGGGCAGCTGCCTGGTAAAGATTTATATGTTCTCCCTGTATCTGCATGGGTTTTCTACCACAGTCCAAAGTTGTGTAGGTTAGGTAGATTGGCCAAGCTAAAGCATCCAGGGACGTGCAGGCTAGCTGGGTTAGCCGTGGGAAATGCAGGGTTACAGGGATTGAGTCTGGGTGGGTGTGCTTCAGAAGGTCAGTGTGGATTGAATGGCCTGCTTCCATAATGTGTACGTATAACCTTCCCTCATAGTGTTCAAAAATACGAGCCTAATTACTATAAAATCTTATCAGAATCTGACACTTTGGAGCCCTTGTAACATTCGGATAAATCTATGCTGCAGTCAACTACATCTTCTAGCTCAGGCCAGCAATTTCCCAGGAGATAAAATAACTTGCATTTTTATAGTGACTTTCCACCCTCAGCATGGCCCCCAAAGTGCCCTACAGCCAATGAAGTACCTTTGGAAGCATGATCAGAGTTGGAAATGAGGGAGCCAATTTGCACAGAGAGCTCTCACAAATGTCAATGAGACTGATGAAACAGATTGTCTGGACTACTCTGTGGTTGATAGATCACCATCGGTCAGGAGATGAGGCCAAGTCCTCCACTCAGGGTGGCTCAGTGATTAACACTGCTGCCTCACAGCACCAGGGACCTGGGTTCAATTCCACCCTTGCATGACTGTCTGTGTAGAGTTTGCACATTCTCCCTGTGTCTGCGTGGGTTTCCTCCGGGTGCTCCGGTTTCCTCCTACAGTCCAAGGACGTGCAGGTTAGGTGGCTTAGCTATGCTAAATTGCCCAGAGTGTCCAGGAATGTGCCGATTAGGTGAATTAGCCATGGAAAATGCAGGATTACAGAATAGGGTATGGGGGCAGTCTGAGCGGGATGCTCTTTAGAGACTCAGTGTGGACATGTTGGGCAGAGAATGGCCTGTTTCCACACTGGAGGGATTGCACGATTCACTCCTCTCCAAAACAGAAGCCTGCGGTCTACAAACACAAACCAGCTTTCAGCTCAACATCTTTATCTGAAACATGGCTCCTCTGACAGTGCAGCATTCCCTCTGCACCCAGCATAGACCAGCAGCTACATACAATGTGCAAGTAAATAGAAAACGAGACACGTTCAGAATAATTGGCCCCAAGGCAAAGGCATTCAGCTCAGCTCCATGACCTTCAACATGCATGGTCCTGTCAACACACATGGTCTTTCCAATGCACATGGTCTGGACTCCACCATGAAATATGACGCTTGAGCAAAGGACTGACCCTGGCAAAACTGTCACAGCATCAGCCCAGATGAGACAGAGAGAGGAAAGGACCAATATTTAGAATGAATGAACTTAATACTTACGACTGGTGAACACTGCAGTTGTAAAACACAAAGTCGGTGCTGGCAAACTTCTTCCCAGTTTCTTTGGACTTCAGGTACAATTTCACAATCCGCTTGTCTCCTGCACAAAGCAGACAGTGACAAAATGTCTGTCACTACGGACCTTTTAGGATGATTATAAAACATGGAATAAAGTCAAGGACAAAAGGCAGTGAAATCCTATCCCTTCAGAGGCTTCGTTCTCCAATTGAACTCTCTCCCTCATCCTGAACAGGCAGCTGTAGCTTCAGTTTAATGTCTCATTCAAATAATGGCGTTTCCAACAATGTAAAACTCATTTAGCCCTTCAAGAAAGCTCCATCAACAAGGCCATCCTATCGTACAAACCTCACAGAGGCGAATGCACGTACCACTGGGGAAACCACTCAATTGGACACAGCATAGGACTGACAGCAAACAGAATCTATTTTACGGGAAACCCTCTGACATTCAGCAAAATCCATTCGGTCAGCCTTGTGACCAATGGAATTTATTTAGTCCGCAGGCAATAGTTGCTTTAGCAACCAAACAAAGCGTGCATTTTAATACAGTCCAGTGCAACAGCAGCAAATGGAAACTCATGACCAGCACCAAGCCCAAGGCTCCTATCAAAGGCAGGATTATGTCTCCAATAGAAAGACAACAGGGCAGCTACACCACACAAGTTATGAATGTCAGAACAATATTTTGGACAAAACTGTTTCATGACACAAGCATCCCCCTCGATCCCACACATGTGCATGTGAACAAGGAACAAGAGTAGCCATTTAGCCCTTCAAACCTGTTCCACCATTCATAGTCATAGAGTCACAGAAATGTACTCCATGGAAACAGACCATTTGGTCTAACATGTTCATGCCAACCAGATATTCTAAATTAATCTAGTCCTGTTTGCCAGCATTTGGCCCATATCCCTCTAAACCCTTCCTATTCATGTACCCATGCAGATGCCTTTTAAATGTTGTATTTGTACCAGCTTCATGGTTTTATAAACTTCTATAAGGTCACCCCTCTGCCTGCAACGTTCCAGGGTAAATAGCTCTAGTCTATTCCAGCCTCTCCCTATGGCTCAAACCCTCTAATCCTGGCAACATCCCTGTAAATCATTTCTGAACCCTTTCAAGTTTAACAACATCCTTGCTATAGCACGGGGACCAGAAATGAATGCTGTATTCCAAATGTGGCCTAACCAATGTCCTTAATATGGCCATGACTGATCCGATTTTAACCCCAACTCTAGATTCCAGCATCTGCCCCCGATAATCTTTCATCTTGACACATGGCATCAGTACGTATAGTTTAAATATCGATGGGGACAGATCCTGTGAGTGGAGACTCAACAGTTTGATGCACAGAAGATGTCACAGCAAAAATATCCTGGAATACAGCCTTAGCGATGAGCTTCCCCCAGGACCAACCTACTCCAAGTACCTGCTGCATTGCCTTGTTAATGGAGATATCAACCGTTGCACGGCCACCACAATCAAATGATGAGCAAAACTACACACAAGGTAATAGCAGGGACTATCAAGTACTGCTTTTTCCTCTTCCCCCAATCCCACTCATTGAAGACAGCTGCAAGAGTGATTTGTTGTCTCTCTAACTCTCGACCCTCCCACTCTCCTCTTCTGGAGCGTACAGAGAGAACAGGAGGAGCGAACCAGGCAAACATCTGGAACACATCTGCAGCAGAGCTTGTAACAATCTTTTTTTGAAAATTTTATTCCAGTGTAAATGTCCTACCCTTGGCACTTCGCAGGGTTTAACATTTGTTTATGTAACTCCTGAGGCTCCTCAAGAAAAAAGCTGGCAGACTGTGGAACGCCTTAACCAAAGACTGTAAAGTTAAGCCTTTTACACTCCCAAACCGAACAAAACTTGTAGCTGTGACATATCCAAGAATATCCCACAATGTCATCTCGTTAAGTGCTTGAGTCAAGCCAGGGTTTAAATGTCCACATGTCCCCCGCAAATATCTACCAGACACAGAGTGCACGATATGCAAAGTGAGGCAATAAATGCACTGAAACATCATCCAGGAAAACAACTTCATTTTATTCAGTTTCGGGTTGGGGGTGTCACTGGCAAGACCAGTATTTATGAATGACGTCAACTGTGCCTCAACAGGTAACGCTTTCTTCTCTGAGTCAGATGGGTGTGGGTTCAAGTGCCACTCTTTAAAAACTTGAGAGCAGGAACGAACAAGAGCTGTCACTTCAGGTGCAGTGAAGGAAGGTGACACTGTCGGAAGTCCTGACTAGTGACAAAGATGGTGAACACCACTTACTCATTACGGGTGGCTCAGTGGTTAGCACCACTGCCTCACAGCGCCAGGGAATCAGGTTCTGATTCCGGTCTCTGGTGACTGTCTGTGCGCAGTTTGCACATTCTCCCCGTGTCTGCGTGGGTTTCCTCCGGGTGTTCCGGTTTCCTCGCGCAGTCCTAAGATTAGGCGGATTGGCCATGCTAAATTGCCCTGTGATGTGCAGACTAGGTGGTTGAGCCACAGGAAAAGCAGGGTTACAGGGATAAGGTAGTAGGGTGGGTCTGGGTAGGATGCTGTTTGAAGGGCAGTGTGGACACGATGGGCCGAATGGCCTGCATCCTCACTGTGGGGATTTGATGACCACTTACCCATTCAACTGCAAAATTCTACAATAATGGTTAATGAAGTGTAGCGGGGGTTGCCCAAATGTTTGTCTCTCAGTCAACATCACAGGACCACAAACGATCCCGAGAAAGAATAACCAAAAGAACTACAAATGCCGGAAATCAGGAACAAAAACAGAGAGTGCCGAAAAACTCAGCAGGTCTGACAGCGTCTCTGGAGAGAAGTCAGGGTTATCTGGTCCCTTTGTAATTCTACTGGAGGATGCAGGCATCACTGGAAAAGCCATCATTTATTGTCTGTCCCTAATTGCCCTTGAACTGAGTGGTTTTCTGAGTGCTATTTCAGAGTGGAGTTTAAGACTCAACACCATTGGTACGGGTCTGGAGTCACGTGTAGGCCAGACCAGGTTAGGATGACCGATTTCTATCCTGAAAAATACATCAGTGGGCCAGATGGTTATCATGGTCACCATCACCGAGACTAACTTAACATTCAGATTTATACACCGAATTTAAATTGCACCATCTGTCATAGTCTGACCTGAACCCATGTCCCAAGTGGATTAGTTACCCTCGGCCTGTGGATTACTAGCCCGGTGACATAAACATAAAGCCACTATCTTCCCTGACATCATTCTTGAAATGGGATCACACTGTGCACAAAATCAGGTGCTAAATTCACTTCATTACACTTAAAAAAATAAATTTGACTTTAAAGAGCTTGAAGGATAACCCATGAGAGGTGATATACAAATGCAAGTCTTTCATTTTTAAACTAAATAAGCAATCAGAGGGGAAGGGGAACAGGGGGCCTGAAGTCGCTGGATCTAAAGCAGCTGGTGGCCTGAGTAGTGTTACAGGCTGGTCAGTCACACAGCACACTCCAAATGGGGCACACTTACCCTGGCCTCTCGTGATTGGGACAATTTCTCTGGCTGAGGGAGACCGACAATAGATCCTGCCATCCATTATCCGAGCCTCAGTCTCAGTGAAATTCTCGAAGGAACAGTTGACTCCTGCAGATAGGTCGGGGACATTGCGGGTTTGTAAAATCAACTGCAGAGAGAGAGAGACAGACAGACAGAAAGGGAACAAGTCTTTCAGAATATGAATATTCCAACACAGAGCACAGCCCCTATTACACCATGACTAATACAAGCAGAAGTCAGAAAACTGCACAGTGACTGCTTTCCTGAGCCTTTCAGTTCACCCCTCTTCACCTGCACCTACTCAATCTCGGTTAGAATGGTGCTTACAAAGGCACTGGTACAGCTCCATCACTCAATTTCCAATTCTGGAGAACGCCAGCTCCAACAATAGGCCAGAAACTCAACACCATAACATCCGAAGGCACCCGTTTGATTAGCACCCCATCCACCACTTAACGCTCAATCTCTTCACTGAAGATAAGGAGGAGCAGCAAAATGTATCTTGTGAGTGGCTGTTTAGACAGCACCTTTCAAACCCAGGACCACTTCCATCTAGAAGGACAAGGGCAGCAGATACATGGGAACATCACCACCTGCAAGTTCCCCTCCAAACCACTCACCATACTGACTTGGAAATATATCGCCGCTCCTTCACTGTCGCTGGGTCAAAATCCTGGAATTCCTTCCCTAAGGGCATTGTGGGTCTAACTACAGCACATGGATTGCAGCGGTTCAAGGAGGCAGCTCATCACCACCTTCTCAAGGGGCAACTAGGGACGGGCAAGAAATGCTGGGCCCAGCCAGCGATGTCCACATCCCATGAATGAATTTTTAAAAATTTAAAAATAAACAAGGGACTTTCTCTCACCCCCTTCTCCTCTTCTTTGTTTCCCCCCCAGCACCTTCAACCTCTCCTTCCTACTCCCCCCTCCTTTTGACCCTCCCACACCCCTTCTCTCCAAATCCCAGACCTTTGGCCAGAAGGCCAAGTGAGGGGCTTCTCTGTGAAGGTGATAACATTCAGAATGATCAGGTGCCGAACTCACATTCAATTCAGGTCAGCGATGTCGTCAGGTCAGGGCTTGTTCAGAAAATTAAAAACACCATTGGGCTGCTTACCCATTTTAATTCAGCACATGCATGCACACATATATACACAGACACACAGGACACAGTGGCACATACACAGACACACACACACACACACACACAGAGACACACTGGCACACACACACACACACACACACACACACACACAGACACAGACAGACAGACAGACACACACACACACACACACACACATATACACAGACACACAGAGACACACTGGCACATACACAGACAGACGCGCACACACACATGCACGCACGTACACACACAAAGAACAACATACACACACAGACAGACACACACTCACACATACACAGACAGATGCGCACACAGACACATAGACAGACACACACACTCACGCACACACACACAGTCACACACACACAAATGCATGCACGAACACACACAGTGACATACACAGACACACGCACGGAGACTCACATATACACAGTCACACACACACACATGCACACACACAGTGTCTCTCTCTCTCTCACACACACACACACACACACACACACACACACACACACACACACACACACACACACACACACACACACACACACACACACACACACAAAGACACAAATAATTCACTCACCAGAACCTGGGACATGGTGACTGAGATATTTCTGGGCTGGACACTCAGTTGGACACACTGGCGAAGGTTCGATGCAAAACGTTGATACTCATTGGCTCGATCACATGTGTCCTTACGAGAACATCTAAAGCAAAATGAAGGGTCATCGGTTACCATCTGTCCTCAAATGCCAAACGTTCGAAACCACCAAGAGGTGTTTATTCATGCCGATTTATCTTTGGGGATGTGGCCATCACTGTCACAATCAGCATTTGTTGCCCGTTCTGAGTTACAAAGAATCAAGCAGAAAACATGGCCCAACTTTCACTGTCCATCACACTCACCAAGGATCTCCCCTTACAGTGAGAGAAGTGAAGGCACAGTAACTAAACTTGCACATGGGGAGGTGATGGCCTGGTACTATTATCACTGGACTGTGAATCCAGTGACACAGATGATGTTCCGGGGACCTGGGTTTGAATCCCACAGATGGTGGAATTTGAATTCAATAAATATCTGGAATTTGGAGTCTAATGATGACCATCAATCCATTGCTGATTGTTGGGAAAAACTCATCTGCTTCACTAATGCCCTTTAGGGGAGGAAACAGCCATCCCTGCCTGATCTGGCCTACATGTGACTCCACACCCACAACAATGTGGTTAACTCTTAACTGCCCTCTTGGTAATTAAGGATGGGCAAAACATGCTGCCCAGCCAATGATGCCCTCATCCCGGGAATGAATGAATACAAAAAAAATGGCACAATGGGAGGTCAGAAGTTATGTTGTGAAGAATACACAAGGAGTCTGCAGATGGATAAATACAGACAGGTTGGGAGAGTGGGCTTAAATCTGGCAGATGAGGCAAAAGGTGAATTGTGCAATTTGGCAGGAAAAATGAAAAAGCAAAGCATGACTTAAAAGGTGCAGAGAGATCTAGATATTTTTGATGTGGAGGTGCTGGTGTTGGACTGGGGTGGGCAAAGTCAGAAATCACACAACATCAGGTTACAGTCCAACAGGTTCATTTGAAATCACAAGCTTTCAAAGCACTGCTCCTTCTTCCCGACAAAGGAGCAGCACTCCTTTGTGATTTTAGCTCACATGTCACAAAAAGTTAGAATGCAGGCTCAGCGTTTATTCAAGCTCGCTAATGGGACGCTATCCTTTATTATGGAAGAGATGGAACTTAAAACTAAGAATGTCACATTTCAGTTATACATGATATCGGTGAGTCTATATCTCAAATACTGTGTGTAGTTCTGGTGTCCTTATTCACAAAAAGAAGTAAATGCACTGGAGGTGGTTCTCTAGATTGATACCTCAAATGACTGGATTGTCTTATTGATAGACTGTGCTTGTTTTCATAGATCATAGAATCCCTACAGTGTGGAAACAGGCCCTTTGGCCCAACAGGTTCACACCAACCCTTAGAGCATCCCACCCAGACACATTCCCCTATAACCCATCCATCCCTGAACACTATGGGCAATTTAGCATGGCCAATCCACCTAACCTACACATCTTGGGACTGTGGGAGGAAACCTATGGAGACACAGGGAGAATGTGCAAACTCCACACAGACAGTCACCTGAGGGTGGAATTGAACCTGGGTCTTTAGCTCTGTGAGGCAGCAGTGCTAACCACTGAGCCACCGTGGAAACTGAGAGTGATTGACTTGATTGAAGTGTATAAGATCCTGAATGGTCTCGACAAGGTCGCCATGGAAAGGATGTTTACTCTTGTGGGTGTGTCCGGAATGAGAAGACACTGTCTTAAAATTAGGGGTCCCTGTTTTAGGATCAACACAACGATAATTTGTTTTCTCTCAAAGGGTTGTCTGACTTTGGAACTCCCTGTTTTAGAAGGTGCTCGAGGTGGAGTCATTAAGTATTTTGAAGACAGATGTGATTGCATAGATTGTTATGAAAAATCGAAGGTTATCGGAAATTAATGGGAATGTGAAATTCAAAATACAAACGTACTGGCCAGGATCTGATTGAATGGCACACTAGCCTCAAGCAGGCCGAGTGGCCTACTCCTGCTCCTTTTTCACTTGTTTGTAAAATGTAACACCATTGCTCATTAGAATCCCCATTGTGAAGATAAAGGCCACCTGGCCCATTGTGATCTTCCAAAGAGTATTTCACCAAGACTCACCTCCCCAACTCATCCATGTAATCACACATTTCCCATGGCTAATCCACCTAACCTGCACATCCCTGGATGCCACAGGTAATTAGCATGGCCAATCCACCTAACCTTCACATCTTTGGACTATAGGAGAAAACCCATGCAGACCTGGGGAGAATGAGCAAATCCCACACAGACAGTTGCCTGAGGGAGGCATTGAACCCAGGTCCCTGGTGCTGTGAGGCAGCAGTGCTAACCACCGAGCCACCATGCTGCCCCACCTTGCTTTCCTCTTTTGCATTTAAAAGCCGAAACTAGCCCCAAGTGAATCATTGTTCTGAGTTATTTCACGCCACCTTTACCAGGATGGTAGAGAATCTATGACCCTGAATTGCATTGTGGAATTTCAGACCTCCTCACATGCATCTGATAAAAGTTTTTTTGTTACCAAGCTCTCAATAAAGGTTGGCCCTGAAGAGGTTTGGGCAACATTAAGTGGCACATGATTGAATAGCCCAAGAAAGGGCCAGCATTGTATTTGAAATCTATTAGATTTCAGATTACATCATTTTTCATATTGTCAGCATTTCTATTGCTGACAAATTCAGCCCGAGGGTCCTTTCAATAAAACATTCAAACTTGGGAATTATTAAATAAAGCACTTACTGAGACCACATACGGTGTCTTTGGAGCAGTTACCACAATAGCTAAAGACTGGGCAATAAATCCCGTGATAAAACGAAAGATGTAAATCCAGAAGGGGAGAACTGTGGTCCTCATTCGCAAGAGGGAGATTAAAGGGGGAAAACTAAGGGGTTTATTTGAATAATGGATGGAAGGAGGTTTCTATCAGTCTGTACGGTACAGAAGATGACAGGAAAACTACTGACAGTGTCATTATGCAGGTACAGGAGAAGGCCATTCAGCCGTCAGATATTGTTCTGCCCATTTATTCGGCTCCGTATGGAAGAAAACAAAGTGGGATCTTAAATCTTGCTGAAAGCAGGGACAATGTTACTAAAGTTTTGGGTTTTGGACCCCCTTTGGGAAAATAACAAAGGGATCAAGTGTTAACAGGGAGAAGGCAGGAAAATGGGGTTGACAAACATATCAGCCATGATCGAACAGCAGAGCAGATTCAATGGGAATGACCTAATTCTGCTCCTACTTCTTATATGGAATTTTGGAGTCATACAGCATGGAAACAGACCCTTCGGTCCAACCAGTCCATGCTGAACATAATCCCAAACTAACCTAGTCCCACCTGCCTGCTCCTGGTCCATATCCCTCCAAACCTTTCCCATTCATGTACCTATCATGTACCTGTCTTTTAAACATTGTAATTATACCCACATCTACCACTTTGTCAAGACGTTCATTCCACACCTGAACCACCCTCTGTGTAAAAGAACTGCTCCTCATGGCTTTTTTAAATCTCTCTCCTTTTACTTTAAAAATGTGCCCCCTGGTCTTGAAATCCCCCATCCTAGGGAAAAGACAACTACCATTTATCCTGTCTATACCCCTCATGATTTTATAAACTTCTATACCTGTCAACCTCAGATGTTTCAGTGAGAAAGTCCCAGCCTATCTGGCCTTTCTTTATAAGTTACATCTGATGAAACATGGGAATGCTGCCCTTTACAATGTTGTGATGCCTTGAAATTTGACATTCTTCCACCTGTCCTGATGAAATGAAAAGATGCAGAAGCATCTCTCTCAGCAGGAAGGCAGGATGGTCCTCCGAAGAGAGACTGGGTAAACTGGGCTAGTATTTGCTAGAGTTTTAAAAAATGAGAGGCTATCTCAAAGAAACCTACAAAATTCTACAAGGGACAGACAGGGTAGATGCAGAAAAGAGGTTCCACTGGTTGGGGAGTCTAAAAGCAGAATCATAGAATCCCTACAGTGTGGAAACAGGCCCTTTGGCCCCAACAAGTCCACACCGACCCTTGAAGCATCCCACCCAGACCCACCTAATCTACACATTCCTGAACACTATGGGCAACTTAGCATGGTCAATTCACCTAATCTGCACATCTTTGGGCTGTGGGAGGAAACCCATGCAGACAGGGGAGAATGTGCAAACTCCACACAGACAGTTGCCAGGGGGTGGAATTGAACCCAGGTCTCTGGTGCTGTGAGGTAGTAGTGCTAACCACTGAGCCACCGTGCCACGTTATTAACCTAGCCTGCCACCTTCAGGGATCTGTAGACAAGCATCTCAAGATCTGCCTGTTCCTCCAAGCTTCCTAATATCTTGCTATACTCCCTTGTCTTGTTACCCCTTCCAAAGTGCATCATGTCATACTTGTCAGTGTTAATTCCATCTGCCACTGATCTGTCCATCTGATCAACCAGTCTTCCTCCTCACTATTAACCACTTAGCCAATCTTCCTGTCATCTGCAAACTTACTTACCATCCTCCCCACATTCCCATCTACATCATTTATGTATATCATGAACAACAAGGAATCCAGCAATGATCCTTGATGTGCGCCACCCGAAACAGCCTCCAGTTACACAAACAACTTTCTATCACCACTCTCTATCTCCTAACACTCAGCCAATTTTTGGATCTAACGGTCCATAATCCCCTGTAAATTACCTGACACTATAGAAAAGAGTAAGGGGACATAATTTTAAAATATGAGGGTTCTGAAGAAGGGTCTCTGGACCCGATACGTTAACTCAGCTTTCTCTCCACAGACGCTGCCAGACCTGCTGAGCTTTTCCAACAATTTCTGTTTTTGTTAAAATTAAGGTGGTTGCCATTTAGGACTGAGATGGGGGTAGATTGGCTTTATTCAGAACATTAAGAATTCTTGACATTTCCTATCCCATAGGGCTGTGAAATCTCTCTTTCTGAGTATGTTTAAAGTTGAGGTTGATAGATTTGATTATCAACCACTGTGTCTTAGGGGGAGGAGATGGTGTAGTGATAATGTCACTGCACTGGTAAAGTGTAACTAGCCTATATGCTCTAAGGCTCAAATCCCACCACTGCAAAA